CAGATATTATCTGGAATAAAGATTAAAAAAAAACAACATAAAAAACTGAATAAAGTTCCTTCGAGTAAGAAATCTAAACAAAAGCAACCATAAAACAACTAACCCATGTGAAACGAAATTAGATCTGTGCTAGTGAAAACTTTGAAAAACAATTATTGAAATCTTAGTTTTAAGTATTATCCAACTCATTTACTGCAGTGTTTTAATTACTTAAGTAATTAAGCATTTTAAACAGTTAATCGCTTTCTAACATATTATTTTAGTGCAATTCACAAAATGTTTAATATTCAATGACATTTTCATTCAAAAAGAAGAAGAGAAATTAACAAATTTAAAAAAAAAAAAGTTCAAACTTTAGAATTTTTTTTAAAGTTTAAAAAAGCCCGTGCAAGACCATCTAGACGAGCGGCCCTCATAGCCCGCCAAGTCTATTTAAAACGGGCTTTTCATAGCCCGTACGGTTTTTATTCCTGCCGAAGCCTGTATATATATACATATATATATATATACATATATATATATATATATATATATATATATATATATATATATATATATATACATATATATATATATATATATATATATATATATATATATATATACATATATATATATATATATATATATATATATATATATATATATATATATATATATATATATATATATATATATATATATATATGAGTTTCAAAAGCGTGGTTTGCCGCATGCCCACATTTTACTTCATTTAGCAAATGATGATAAACTTGAAACATCACAGGATATCAATAATTTGATTTGTGCAGAAATTCCAGATCCGATAGTTAATCGTGAACTTTATGATATTATCAAAACTTGCATGATTCACGACCCATGGATACTGAATCCAAATTCTCCCTGCATGAAAGATGAGGTGTGCAGCAAAAATTATTCTAAAGATTTTAATGCCAACACAGTAGCTGTTCACAATGGTTATCCATGCTATAGGCTTCGTGATAATGGGTTGGTTATTAATATTAAAGGCGACAATGTAGATAACCATTGGGTAGTACCTTATAACCCTTGGTTATTAAAGAAATATCAAGTCCACATTAATGTTGAAGCTTGCATGTCTGTAAAGGCTGTTAAATATTTGTACAAATACATATACAAAGGGCATGATTGTGCGAATGTTTTGATAAATGAACAGGTTAATCACGATGAAGTAAACACTTTCTTAGATTGTCGTTATGTTAGTGCACCTGAGGCACTGTGGCAAATATTTGAGTATCCCATAAGTCATATGTCACACACTATTATCCGTCTTAAGGTTTATCTTCCTGAGAATCAGATTGTGTATTTTAGAGAAGGAGAAGAACAAGTGGCTTTAGATCATGCTGTTCAACGTGATACACACCTTACGGCCTGGTTTAAATTGAATTCTGAAAATGAAGGAGCCCATCACTACTCATATGTTGACATTCCATATCACTTTGTATTTGATGATAAACATTGTAAATGGAAGGTTAGACAAAGAGGTGGAAATAAGGTGATAGTAAGAATGTATAAAGTTAGTCCAACAGGAGAATTATTTTTTCTTAGATTGCTACTTTTGCAGGCAAAAGGAGCAACATCTTGGGAGGATTTGCGTACTGTTAATGGAATAGTTCTTGAAACCTTTCGTAAAGCGTGTATTTTTAATGGTTTGTTGCAAGATGACACTGAATGGCAGAACTCTTTCTGTGGCAGTTTTAACGCGCATGCCTAAGCAAATTAGGCAGCTGTTTTCAATTATTTCAACCTTTTGTGAACCTGATGACCCTTTGCATCTTTGGAATACATACAAAGCTTTTATGATGGAGGATTTCATTCATCGCCAAGTTCCATTTATATTAGCTGAACAAGCTACTCTTCGTCAAATCAAAAAGATTATTAATCAAAGTGGTAAAACGCTATCTGATTATAATTTGCCTGTTGTTGATGAATTCATAGATTTTAATCTAGAAAATTTAAATAATAATGTTCAGCAATCAATTGACGAAGCTAATAAAATGAGACTACTTCTTAATGTCAATCAATTAAATGTAAGTAATGCAGTCTTTGCTGCATTGAACAAGCAACCAAGTGTAGAAAATCAACATTCCAGATTGTTTTTTATGGATGGACCAGCTGGTAGTGGCAAAACTTTTACATATAATTATTTGATTTCTGAAACGAGCAGTAGGGGTGTTAAATCTGCTACAGCTGCATGGACTGGCATAGCAGCAACTCTTCTTACAAATGGATCTATGCTGCACGGCTCATTTAAACTTCCTGTCCCAATACTAGATAACAGCACATGTAATGTGACTCCTAACTCTATTCATGGACAATTTTTAAGGCAAGTTAGTTTGTTTATGCTTGACGAGACATCCATGATTCCCAAACACGCTTTAAATGCAATCGATCGGTTGTTAAAAGATGTTTGCAACAACAACTTTCCATTTGGAGAAAAAGTCATTCTTTTTGGTGGTGACTTTAAGCAATTTTTGCCTGT